TGTAGACCTAGTTGTCTTCTCCAAATAGCTGCTTTGGCTTGGCTTTATTTTTGTGTGAATTCTAAGATGGAGTGCTCCAAGAGAACAAATCCCAATATACAAGTGTTTCTCAAGTGTGCATACATTTTACTTGATAATGTTTCATTAGCCAAAGTTAATCACTTGCCAAGCCTAGATCAATGTGAGAATGTGATACTAGAGGATTCAATGGGGATCTCAAAATAACAGTTGACCAAACTCTGAGATTTGGAGATATGGGTTTGGTCAAGTATGTTGATAACTGCTTTAATATATTTATATTAATATTAACAACTGAGAAGAAACAATTTTAAAAGCACAAAAATTGAATTGGGATGATTTTATCATATAGAGATATGTTATGAATCATCTTTTTATTGTATAGTTCATAGGTAAAATGCTGTGAAAATGTCAAATTTTGAAGATTTATTTCTTCAGAAATAAAAGTGATATTCAAGCATTAATTAATCTACAAATTTAAGAGGTAGGGCAACTAGAACACACAATTTTAAGCATCTGCTTTGAGCAGTTTACCTCACCAATGTCTTGGTATTTAATTTTAGCATTTTTGTGGATAGTATTAATTTCCCATATATTTTTTAAAAGATTTATTTATTTATTTATACAAGAACCAGGGTACATGCCAGCTTTGCGGGAGGTTGAGAGGATTCCCTAGAGACCACGAGTAGAGAACAGAACAGGCAGACTGACGAAATACACTGCTGAGGGGAGCAACAGCGAGATAGGAGAGGTCTGCAGCGCCAAGTGGGACCATCGCTGGGGGGCCGGGATCAAATCGGCGCTGCAGAGGCTGCGGACAGCTTCACACCGCTGCGCTCAACCTCCTGCGCCACCAGGGGAAGCCCTCCCATATTTTTCAATAGTTAAGATTCAGAGAAGAGTTTAACAAACTAGCACCTGATAGGCAAAGGAGAACATCCTGAAAATTTATGAAGTCTTGCTGTTCCACTATGTTGCAAGAGAAAATATATGCATTTAATTGAGCTTTTAAGAAAATATAGTTTGAATTGTAAGTAAATTTAGTAAAATGTTTGGAGAAGCCTTGCATGCATCCATCAGCTTCTCCACTGACCTTTACCAGAAGTATGTTTGCTTAGCATTGCTCTTACCTTTTTGATCCTATAAATTATCAGGTGACAATGATGTATAGGTTCTAAGAAGACAGGGGCTAACTTGCAATCTGTTAGGGCACAGAAGGAAACATCCCTTTACCCTCTGAATTCTTCTCTTCTCAAAACACAGTCAGATGGATAGCAAATGAAAAATCAATAACACAGAGAAAATTTGCATGGTTATAAATTTTAAGGAATAATGTAGCAGACCAGGAATATTTATTTTGTGTTTAGGGACCTAGGGAATCAAGAAGAGAAAGGGAGACTTCACATGACAGACAAAAAGGGGCTGACCTCATCCTCATTTCAAGAGTAAAGATAAGGTTCTTAGAGAGGGTGTGTTCACTGATAAACCCGCAACTGGATATGTTGTCCCAAAATGACTACATATTCCAGCTCATGAAAGGGGGGGGGGGGACAGTGATTACATCTCTGATTAGGAAAGGGCAGAAAATTTGGCAAGTGAGTTGACACCATCTTCAATTAGGGAAGAATGGAAGCATCTCCTCAATCTCAAGGGATTTCATTGTTCTTAGCTCAGAATACTCTGCATGCCAGAGCAAGGTATCTTGAAGAAAGCCATTGTGGGAGCCTCTAAATCGAAGTAATTTTTGTAAGGATGTCTAAATTACATGTTTGTTTGTTTTTCTTCCCTTTTTACCTTCTTAATTCTTAATCATGCCCATTTGTAGCCTGGGATTGCCAGTTGTAATATTTTACTGTGCAATGGAATTTTTAAATACTTGCTATTGCAAATTCAGAATAAAATAAAAAATGATATAAAATAAATAAAGAACAAAAAAATACCTCAAAGAAACAGTATCATTGTGACTCTCATTCATATCCCATATGGACTTTCAGAGCTACAGACATTTCTTTTAAATCAAACACATTAATTTCACTTCTATCATATGACAATGTCTGTTCATCTTGTGTTTTGAGTAGTTGAAAATAAAGAATGTAGAATAATTCACAAGTATCTCATTCTTCTAACTCTTAAAAGCTGCATTTAGTGCTTCAAAGAAGAAATTAAACTCTTGGTAAAATAGCTATTCAGGATTTTCAGTTTTTTGACTTTCATGAGTCCATACTACATTGAAGAGACATCTTCAAACTGAAGGTCTGGTGAAATAACACCAGAACTTAAAGTATAAATGATTTTAAAGGCTTTATGAGGAAATCCCAGCAATATGGGACTAGTTTTAAACAAGGGCTTCTGATTGATTTAGTTTGAGATTGAATAGAAATTCCATTGACCTAAGCTTGAAATTGGTATCTCTGAATAGAATGGGGGTGAGAATATGAAACAAATCTTCTCTAAAATTTTGGTAAAATAAAAAACAGGTTCGGTTGGTTATTTGCCTGAATTAAATACTGTTCCACACTGGTGGTAATTCATTTGAGAGAAAGAAGGTTATATTCTTGTAGTTTTGTTTTGATTCCTTTCTGAGCAAATATGCTCTGAGTAAGGCAAAAGGGAAATAGAAAGGAAGACATTGAGTAGGAGAGAAATGTAGATCTTGGTTATTCTCTGGAATCATGTCTTGACTCCATTAATGTACCCTCATGTGACAGAATGTATTTACACAGGTCTAGGTTTGTACTGCTCCCTGCTATTTAGATAAAGTAACAGCAATACTTTATCTGTGCAATCCTATTTTAGCATTTCTAAACATGTAGGTAGTCTTTATTTTACTTTTCAATTTTTTAAAGATTTATTTATTTATTCATACAAGCACTGTGTACAGTCAGAAGTGCGGGGAGGTGAGAGAATTCACCAGAGCCAGAGTGGGGAACAGAACAGGCAGACCGACAAAATATAATGCTGAGGGAAGCAGCGGGCGCAGCAGGAGAGATCTGCGCTCCATATTGGACCCTCGCAGGTGGCCAGGGATCGAACTGGCACTGCAGAGGCTGAGGGCAGCTTTGCAGCCCAGCAATCAATCGCTGCGCCACCAGGGGAGGCCCATGTAGTCTTTATATTCACATTTCCCCATGGGGTAGGATAAGATGAGTATGAGTGTTAAAAATATAATATTAAATGACCTAAAATATGACTGGATGCAATATATTTGCATATAGTAGCTATAAATGTCAAGCTCAGTAAAATTTACTGGAAAAAAATAGAGCTTCATAAGAAATAAATTAGAAAACCTCTTGTTAATAAATTAGTTTATTTACTCTGAAAAAAAATGTTTGGACATAATGAAATAATAGGACAAGAAGGAGAGATAGAAGCAAAGACCTGAAAAGGGTGTTTACCTCCTCATATATGCTAGAACCAAATTTGAACTTGTGCTAATGACTGCCCCAGCTTTTCATAGTGCTTAGAAGAGGATCTATCTTTCTAATCCTTAGTAACTTATGTATGTCTAATTGACTACAAATAGGATTTTTTTTTTGCTACACTAAACTGAGAGATTTCAAAAAATCTTAGTTCTTTAAAAATAGAAAATATTTTTTTAAATGTCAAGTGGCACTTGGAAGATTTTAGAATATTGAAATTTAGGAAAGTAAACATTGACATTCTTTTTCCTACTGCAAGATATTTAACCCAATTAGCCCTCTTTCTATAAAAGAGCAAATCCCAGGTGCAGCGCAGAGCTACTGCAGCCAGTAGCCTTCCTGAAAACACATCTGGCACTAACAGGAGAGCTACATTGTGAAGAGGTATATATAAGATGGCACTCTTAATCTTATTCTATCTATCTGTTATAAAAGAATTGAGCTATATGGTCTCTGATGAAGATGTGCCTGCTCGTTGTCAAGTTTCTCTCCTGAGGGAAATGAATAGATGTGGTAAGACTTATGTCTCCACATGGGTCCCAGGAGAATGTTATGGGCACTTAGTGGTTGAAAGCTAAATTTCTTTTTAAAGGGAACTTCAAAGGACTCTGAACCATATGAGATTTGAAAAAAAAAATTCAGAAAGTTGTTAAACAATTCACTACCATTAAAAGCAAATAATGGCACAATTTATTATGCCATTTATTATAGTCTGTCATCAGATATCTCTGAAAACAAAGAAGTAAGATTTATTTTTTTAATATTGAGGTTGTAAGCTCCTATTTTTTAAAATTGAAAATCAGTAATTTGCCTAAAGATCACATTGTTTCAAATTTTCAAATTCTTTATTTAATGTATAGAAAGTGTTTTGGTCACTGGAATATGAAAGCAGGGAAGGGGACAAGACACACACACATACACACAAAGAAATCATGATGTAAAATATATGTGATAAAATATATAAGAGGTAATATGTAGTATTCATTATATTCCATTGTCAATGAGAAGGAAAATACCTTTTATACTTCCAAAATAACACTGAGTTGGATATATCAAAATAAGCAGTGAAGAGATAGGACTATCAACTATAAGTTTACCTTGCATATGTAATTACTATAAATGTTTGATCTTGACATCTAAACCTAAGCTTCTCATATTCTTATTTACTTCCTGTTATGTAATCAAATTTTAGTGGGTAATGAATTTGGATTTGACATGATAGATACAGGAGGTCTTTTGTGTATACTAACACATAAATTGCATGATAGCATATTATTAACTTTAGTAAATTACAAATTCTAGTAAAGATCAAATTCTGTGAGGCCTATTCAAAATGGTAAATATAGACAAATTTAGTCAAAAAGTATATCGGAAAATAAGGATTTACAGTGATTACAAATTGGTACTGGTAGAAGCAAATGAATACCACTTGTGACAAAAGACTTTCAATATTACAATAAATATACTATTCAATAAATTTTAGATAGAGTTGCTTAAGATTTTAAGTGCTTCTTCAAATTGTCTACCTAATGTCAACTTTCTGGTTTCTTTTAAATTATGCAGAACTTCATAGCAAAGCAAGAACAAAAGAATGAAAAATGAAAAAATTTGAGCAGGTATGCCTATCTCAATATATTTGCTAGATTTATTTCATTGCTAAATTTTATTTGACTGTAAAACTCTTGGATAGCATGAGGGATTCATCAAGGCTTGCTCACATTCCATTGTGATGGTTCCTCTAGGCAGTTTACTCTCCTGTCAAAAATTATAACTTTCTTATGTTTGGGTTACCCACAAAGAACAGCTTTGGAAAACAGATTCCTATTAATAATCTGTGACCACAATAAAACCCATTTAACTTTGTTAAAAGTATAATTTGCAAGAAGTTACAAAAAATAACAACTTAGTATCCAGGTTTTAGTTTCTATTAACTTTTTCAAATAAAATGAAATACATTATTCTTAGGCTGGACCAGGTAATATTCATGATAGTCTGAGACATCTTCTAGTGCTAGAAAATACAGAAATGTTCACACACGTGCGCATACACACACACACACACACACACACACAGAGTTCATTAATGGAAATGGGGCAAACTGAAAGGACTCCCCATGACTAAGCCAGAACAGCTGAACAACAAAATCAATAATATAACATTGTATTATAACGCCAAGGTATAAATTAAATATCCATGAATCTGTAGTAATAATAAGACTTAATTTGCTCATTAAGTAGAAATCTCACCAATAGTGAGGGTGATTTAAAGAGAAAGAGGGAAGTATTTCCTTCTATGTATTGATATTGTACTGATCTAGAGGTGGGAGCAATTGAGATAGAGTGCCTTTAGTTAACAATTAAAATGCAACCACTCTTTCATGAATACATTTATAAACAGACACTGCAAGGCAAGGAAAGATTAAAAATCAGAACTATGCTGAGTGGCCAAGCCCATATTAAAATTAACAAGTGTTTCTGATAACATATTTCTGAAAGCAGTATAAAGATAGGAGCCCTATTAAGACTATCTGAGATACCTTGGACTCCATGCCTATGAGGCCTCTGAAACCTTCTGCAGATTTGGCATCTGCAGCTAGTAATTGTGCCTAGAGAAGCAAAATTGCCCTCCCAGATGAGCTGATGCTGCAAGGGGAGTTCTAACTCCAAATATCACCACTCTCACATTGGCCTCCTGGACCTCATGTTAGTGGTTCATATCCCTCTTCCTCTTTAGTGCCAACTGAATTGCATGCTTATGTTTTTGTAACATGGATTGCCCCCAGTAGATCCATACTGTAGTTGCATGCATTTGACTTGAGTCATAACTGGAAACTCTCACTCCAATGGAGTCAGCACTTTTGAGATCCGAACCGCATAGTGAGCACAGAGGTTGAGCACTGGCTTGCGAAGCTGCCCGCAGCCTCTGCAGCACTGGCTTGATCCCCGGCTGCTCCCGGGCCACTGGAGGAGGGTCCCACATGGCACGCAGACCTCTCCTGCCGCCCACTGCTACCCCCGCCCCGAACAGCATAGTGCATATTTACAGTCACTTAAATGAGTAAATTTAAAGAATATTTCTAATATAGATTAAAAATTGGTGCATGTCCTACAAACCAATAATTTGATAATTTGATAAACCAATAATTTGATCATTTGATTGCATGGACAGAACTGACGTTGTAAAGCCAGTTTCTTGCCTATGGTATTATTATTTCTTACAATATAGTTTTTGAAAATCACACAGAAATTATTTCAAAACTTTATTAGTTTTGTTCCCAGAAAACATGTCACCAATTTTATTTTAAAGACTTTCAAATGAAATATTTCACCCCAAATATAAGTGTTTTACATGTGAATTTAGTGGTAGATAGTAAAACCTAATGAAATAAGATCATGACTTATTAATACTATCTTCCTTTAACATTCTACTTGAAATAAAATTTGTGCCTCAAGAATATGTAAATTCCATGTGAAGATGTATTGTTGAGTTTAGAAAATCACAATGTTAACCTGAGTAAGTATTGGTGTTCCTGAATCAGTTTGTGTTAAAGAATAGCAGTCATCATTCTGTTGAGCACATAGTTAGATGTAATGATTCTCAGAGATCCAGAATCACAGATTATTTCACTCTGTGTTATCCACCAGACTAAACACTTACTATAAGAAAAGTAAGCATAGAGATAATTTATTACATTTTTAAAATGTTTGAAGAATACTGCCTGAAAGCACGCAACATCTAGGTATATAAGAAATTACTCCAAAGCTGAGTTCTTCAGGAAAGTTCTAAAAGGTAAGTGCCTTTTCTTGCTCTAAAAATGTAAATCAACTGTTTTGTGACAGATACGTATTGTCCAGGCAAAACTACATGTGTCTAATTGAACCCGCAGGTGACCAGTTGCAGGTGCAATTGAGTGGCTAATTTGCACTCTTGGCATGAAGTTTCAGCGACTAATTATACATTTAGTTGCTTGGGGGGTGCTATTTAGTTTCTTGTGCAATTTTTATGTGTGTTAAGTGATTGTAGGTTCAAAACTTAAACTCATTTGGTAGGATGCTGTGACTGAAAGGTCAGCTTCAAAATCCAAGAAAATTTGGCCACTGTAGAAATAACTGGGAAAACAATTTGTAGATTACTGGATTTTACAAATTTGTCAACATGTAGAAGAAAACACAATCAAAAGAATAAAAGGATTAAAGAAACCACATGGAATGGCATAATTTCATTTATTGGCAGGCATATAATTTCCTTTCATTTTTATAATTCTAAATATACTAATTACTGTGTAAAAGAATGAATGAATTGGAATAGACTAAGATCTAAGGCACAGCTGAATTCTTTAAGTCAACCTTAGTAAAAGAATAAGAATAAAGTGATAGCTCTATTTTGAGCACTGAAATGTTATAGATGTGGCAACATGAAAATAAGTAGAAGTATGTAGATATTCTGAACATTAATAATAAAAATATATAGAATTACAATCTTTTTCTATTTGCTAGAGAATTTATCAGTTTAGGGAAACCATTCAGCATATGTTTCTCTTGGTACCTAATTATTACTACAAAATGTCTGGATGCTTGAGAAATATTTCCTGTTGATTATCTAAGTAATAAGTAGGTAAATATATAGTCATTATGTAATGAACTTATCTCTTTAACTTGTTTATGCAACTATTTGCAACGGTCATTTAGGAAAAAAAATTCATTGCACTTTGAGTGAAGGTATAATATACTATTCTTTTTTTTTAATATTTATTTATTTATTCATACAAGCACTGGGTACAGTCAGAAGCGCGGGAGGGTGAGAGAATTCACCGGAGCCAGAGTGGGGAGCAGAGCAGGCAGAAGGATTGAGGTACACTGCTGAGGGGAGCAGTGGGCGGCAGGAGAGGTCTGTGCGCCATGTGGGACCTTCCTCCAGTGGCCGGGGAGCAGCCGGGAATCCATCCAGCACTGCAGAGGCTGCAGGCAGCTTCGCAACCCAGCGCTCAACCGCTGTGCCACCAGGGAGGCCTGAAGTTACTATTCTTTAGTCATCTTTAATTTCCTTTTTTAAATTGTGTTTTTCTTATAAATAATTCAAGAGAAAACTATTTGGTTCTGAAATGGATAAATCAATTAATGATTGCCTTGGAATAGTAATGCATTAAATACTCACAAGAAAATGCTAATCAATACTGAGAAACTTATCAATTACCCCATTTAAACTACATAACGGAACAGTAGGTATGTGTTCTATGAGTACAGAATCAACTATCCACAGGTTTACAGACAAAAAATACAATGATATACCTATTTCTAGGGGCTTCTAATTATCTTGAGACATCCTATATAGTTTTTCATACAATAATATTTCATATAATAAATAAAAAAGTCCTAAAGATAACTACTCCTTCAGAATAAGGGAAAAGATGGTTTCCTTCAGTAACCTTTCAAGCCATATTGCAATCCGACAAGCAAATAGGGGTACTCATGCAAATAATGATAATACAAAACAGTTTTTGGAAAACTGCTGTGAAAATATTTTTTTTCATTGTGAGTATGGTTAGGTTTTTGTTTCACCTGTTCCTCCTGTTTAAAGCTTCCTCCACAAAATAAGCATGGCTGCCTGTCCAATACTGTTTTCTCATCTCAACTTTGATTTCATTGAGTATGCACAAAAAAAAACAAAACAAACAAACAAACAAAAAAAAAAAAACCAAGGGCGGTTTAAAAAATATAACTGGGGCGTCCCCTGGTGGCGCAGCTGTTGAGCACTGGGTTGCAAAGCTGCCTGCAGCCTCTGCAGTGCCGTTCGATCCCAGGCCGCAGGGTGAGGGTCCCACATGGTGCACAGACCTCTCATGCCAAGCAGACTGCTCCTCTCAGCAGTGTATTTCGTCAGTCTGCCTGTTCTTTTCCCCGCTCTGGCTCTGGTGAATTCTCTCACCCTCTCGTGCTTCTGACTGTACCAGTGCTTGTATAAATAAATAAATAAATCTTTACAAAAAATTTAAAAAATATATAAAAAAACAAAAAAAATATAACTGTATATGCTTTTTGTAGCCTGGTATTAAAAAAATCCTGATATTACTCTCTGAGGGTAATGATTCTTATGTTCTTTATGCTGTGTTTGACATTTGGAAATTACTCTCTTAATATTTGTTCCTTGAAATTCCTACCCTCAAACTCCACTGACCTTACAACCTTGCTACTATAATATTGAGTCTGAAATACAACAACCTCACTGGAATATTGGATACTTCATAAAGTACTATAATGCCTGATAAATGATAGAAATCAAAATTATTTCTTAAAGTTGATTGAGATATAAATTGGAAATAAAATGTAAAGTTCAAAAATAAAATTGAAGTCTTATCTGAAGCTTGAGTTCTCTTTTTAAACACAAGCAGTTAGTAAATTTGAACTCCTCTGATACAAAGAATCTGTTTTTTATCCTCAGACTGGCATTGCATTAGGAAATACAGCCTTCCTCTGATTCCCCTGTAGAGTGGGTTTTCCAGGAGTCATGGGCTTCAGGAACTCTGAAGTACTTATATACAATGTTGGAGATTTGTTTTATTACAAAAATGAAAAATTGCAATTGTATAATTTTAGAGAGAATTTTATTAATAACTGGT